ATCGATAGTAATTGTAAATAAAGCTCTCTTTCTCTCTCTCTCTCTCTCTCTCTCTCTCTCTCTCTCTCTCTCTCTCTCTTTCTCTCTGTCATAAGGTCATTTGTATAAATGCATGCTGTGATACGAAATTGTTTAAGAATCTGTTACGCGATGCTTCTTTCGTGTGGCTACTAGTTTCATTACTTTCTTTTCTCCCTTGTTCTTTATTATTATTATTATTCGCGTTTCTATTTCTTTTCTTAAATATCATTTTAAAATATAATCAATCGTAATCATCATGTCCGTATCACCGAATGATTTTCTGTATCGTTTATATCATAGATTGTATCGTTAAATCAATCATTCGTCATAACGAAATTGATTTGATATCGTTGCTTCGCTTATTTATTCTCATTTTTTGTTTTTGTTTTTTTACATGTTCCTTTTTTTTCTTCACACGAGGAGGACATTTCGTCGTGAAAAGAAATAAAACTAATATTCTAGGCGAAGCAATAAATTTCCCGAAGCCAATATATATCCATACTTTGTGTTTTATTTATTTTCGTTGCATATTATTAGATAACAGCGATATCTAATAATAGAACTTGTTAATGTTTAAAGAATGTTTGTAAGACACGCTTTTTTTTGGAGGTATCCAGGAGTATTGAAATGAGAAATTCATGAGAAAAACATATATATAAAAGATATCTATAAGCGACAGTAACAATTATTAGAAAAGAAAATGTGCGATCTGTTTTATGTGGATAATATGTTTCAGGAGTAAAAAAGATTTTTGGAATAAAGGAGAAGACCGAAAGTTCAGATTAGAAGCGACATTTATTTTGAATCGTCAAACAATACTATTCCATAGATCTCAAAAAAAAAAAAAAGCAATCCAGTTTAGTATTATTTTATTTAATTTACCGTACACCTTAATCGTCAATTATTTGTCAACGATTGTAAACGAATGACCTAAAAAATGTATATGATGATGGAAAAAGAAAAGAAAAGAAATGGATCGTACGATCCTCCCTCCCCATCTCACGCTGCATCACTCTCAAACATCCTCATTCTATAATAATTATGAACGATTAATTAAGGTGTACGGCACTAAGAAAAAGAAAAATCGTTCCTAGACAAAAATCTGTATGCGAAAGTAGGCAAGCGGCAGGCAGGCAGGCAGGCAGGCAGGCAGTCAGGCAGGCAGGCAGGGAGGGCGGGCGGCATCACGTGAGATGGAAAGAGCGAGGCCACCGATCGATCCGCCGTTTTCAAAAGAAACAACAAATGGAACATGCAATATAGACGAAAATAGACTAATTTTCTTACTAATCTACCACCGAGAACACGCATCAAAAAAATACGCGAATGCTTGTCTTTTAAATGAATTAATACAAATAATAATAATAATAATAATAATAATAATAATAATATTAAAAGAAAAAAAAAAAAATAGCACCCGCGAAACCGAGTTGCAAGATTTAAATCGTAAGGTTTTTCTAGTAGTTCACTTTGACCGCCCAGGGCACACCGGTATGAATATTTAAAACTATAGTATAATAATGATATATAAATAATTAATTTTTAAGAGAGGCAACATACCGAGAGTACCTATTATACATACACGAAACGTATCAGTGATTAAATGAAAATGTAAAGAAACATTTTCAACAAATTAAAAAGAAATGAAGAAATGTGGAAAGATAGACACAGAATATAGCATTATGGAATATTATTATGATCCTCTCTCGTACGTTCCGTCGTGACTGAACGCATAAGAAGAAAAAAACAAAACAAAAAAAAAGTGAAAATGCGAATCTTATTAATAAATCTTAATCGCCTGTATGTATATTCGACGAAAAGAATTAGTTTCATACGAACCGAATGACCCCACGTATTCTCTTAACAAATAATCATTATAATAAACAGATTAAATGAGAAAGAAATGAAAAGGAGAAAAAAAAATTAAATGAAATAAAAAATAGAAACGGAAAACTTCAATAATATTAATAATAATAATAATTGTAATAATAATTATAATAATAATTATAATAATAATAATAATAATAATTATATTAATAATAGTAATAATAATAATATAGTTTGAAAACTACGAAGAAATACTAGGTAGAACTTAACGGTAAATTTAAGGGACAAGAGTAATTTTTAAAAAGTAAAACTATTTTCTGCAATTACGTATAATAGAGATGAAATACAAAAGAGAGAGAAAGAAAGAAAGAAAGAAAGAAAGAAAGAAAGAAGGAAGAAAATAAAAGGATGAGAGAGAAAGTAGAAAGTCACTGTCAAAATACAGATGCTCTGACGTCCATGCTACCTAAGATAAAAAAAAATAAAAAACGGAAAAGAACAAAAAAAATAAGAAATAAATAATAAAGAGAATACGAAGCGCGAGATCGCAATTTATTTATTTAAAAGTTTGAAATAACGCGGAGATAAGAGAACTCTAATTAACCAAAAAATAAAAAAGAAATAATAAGAGTAAAAATAAAAATAAAAATAAAAAAAAAAATAAAAAAAAAAAATACAACAATAGCCACGAGATGCCTTCGATACAGCAAGAATTTTTTCGGTGCCCTGGAGTAGTTTCAATACACGCCAATAAAAAGGACTTGAAATATAGAAACAGGAAAATGGCGAAGAAGAAAAAAATCAATAAAAAAGGGAAGACTTTCAATTTGGACAATTTAATAGGACAAAAGAAGGAAAAAGGAAGGAGAGCTCTAATCCAAAGCAACTAACAGGAGAGAATCGTTTGAAAATAAAAAGGAAGGAAACGTCGTACGATATGTGTTCTTGTTGTTGTTGTGTTGTGTTGTGTTGTGTTGTGTATGCATGAGTTTTAACGTGTGTGCGAGAATTAATTGTGCATACTTATATACACTATGTAAAACGTGTATTTCGATGGAGAAAAAAAAAAAAAAAGAGGAAAGCAAGCAACACAAAAAGAGAAAACAAAGGCAAAAAAAGCAGAGAAGAATTAATATAGGTTTTAGAAAAAACCTAAGTCGATGGTCAATCATAAGATATTATTTCGTCGGTGTAATGTGCGCGCATGTATGGTGATGTTATTATTCTATTCATGAACTGTAAATAACGAGACGATGTTTTAAACGCGTGTTAAATAATTATTATTTTATATTAGTAAGTTCATTTATTCTTACACGATTATTAGATTTACACAAATTCAATTTGTTATATTTTTACATCTTTAATTTCGTATAGAAAAATAATGTCTATTGATAGTAACGTGTATTCGTGTATGTATGTACATGCGTATGTATATTAGATTTCTCTTTTCCTTTTTGTTGCTTCGTTACTAATAATTACGTCTCGTCCTCTTTTTTCTCTTTTTTGCTTCTATATCTCCTAGCAATTCTTAAATATCACTTTAATTTTAGCGAAATGAAAAATATTGCTTTTCAAATGTTACAATTCGGAGCACACACGACATGTAAATCTCTCTCTCTCTCTCTCTCTCTCTCTCTCTCTCTCTCTCTCTATCTATCTATCTATCTATCTATCTATCTATCTATCTATCTATCTGTCTTTCTCTATCCCTCTATTATTTTGGATTAAATGTTGAAAAGAAAGAAAGAAACTCTGCGTAAATAAAAAGGCAAGGCAGTCGTCTTTCGTCGAACCGTTTTGTCGTCCCTTTCCTGAGACGTGTTCAAAACTCTTTTCGCTTTTTTTTTTTCATTAATGCACACGATCGAAAATATATCATTAAAAATCATTGAAATGTACATTAATTGAGAGTTTAATTTGAAATGAATTTAAAATTCAAATAGTAAATTATAATGAAATATAAATGTATAATCGTCACGAGAGGTTTGGAAATGTTTTGGTTTTTATTGTAAGAAATAAGAAAAGAAAGGGCACTTAATTAGAGATGATAAAATACGTCCGAAGAAAGAATCTTGATTGCGAGATTGAAAATTTGACAAAACAAATGGTCCAGGCGTATTTTTTCGTTGCGAACTCTTGGCTTACCGTGCTTAGAGCCGATATATATATATATATATATATATAAATAAATAAATAAATAAATGAATAAATATAAAAATGAGAATAAATAAATACATAAATAAAATATTATTTAAATCGATTTACACGATTAAAGTAGTCAGTCACAGCTGCCGGAGGGAGGGGTGGATTAGAAGAAAGGTCGGTGGGCGGAGGGGGAGGGGGAAAGAAAAGGAGTAAAAAGGGAGTAAAAAGATAAATTAAAGATAAATTAAAGATAAATTCGTGTCAAGTATGCGAGTGCGGATATTTTATGGTAGGCTTGTGATGATTAAATAAAAGAAATATTGCCGAAATGATATATCCAAGTGATGGGAGATCGTAGGAAAGAAAGGATGTATAAAGAAAAGATATATTGCTTACCACATGCAGAATATACTATTGTAATTATGTCGTTAATAAATTGTTTTTTATTTTAATTTCCGCGTTTTTATTTAAACGCAGGTTGTTTAATGCCGATTACGTGATAATAAGACTTGGTTCGATTAATATAATCCATTAAATCCTCTATTTAGTCATTTGCTAGAAGTATAAAGAGGAGCCTGCCTACCACGCGACTAGTTTGCTGTTTATCAAACGATTTAGAAAATAAATGCTAGTTTTTGCGAGATCAATCCTAATGATCTATTTTATTTTTATTATTAACATAAGTGCAATGAATTTATTTTAACAGAGCATTATAAACAATTTCATAACGCACTGCATTTCATAAGACAGTTAAATTTAGCGCCATTTTTTCTAGCTCCTTCGGTGGCGCCATCTGCCGTTAAATAAACCACTGCATATAATGCACTAGTAGTATACTAGTAGCAACGAAATACAAAAATAAGGTTATGTTAGAAAGTTGTTATTTTTGTACACAGTGCTATTGTAGGTGTAACGAGGATTTAAAAATTCTTAATTAAATTATTGAATATATAACAAATATGACAGCGAGATATGCTAATTTATGTTCAAGTATTGCATTAGAACATTTTGGACCTATTGTACAGAGTGTAGTAGATGAACTTTTTACACGTGGACCTAGAACGTTAAAACTACTTCATCAGAGTATTCGTATTCCTCTTGTTAAGGTAAAACAAATGTAATTCTTTCAATATACCTATCATAATATACTATGTTGAATTTAATGAATAAATTCTTCTATATGAATGTTTAGTTGAAGGAATCTTTATGCTCGCTTATCAAACATGGATTAGTAAGTTATCATCGAGATGAAGGATCTATGATATACAGTTTACAGCAAGATAAATTTATTTTAATACTTCGATATCCAAGGTATGTCTGTCTTCTTTATATATATATATATAATGTCTTTATTTCATATAAATACATATATATATATTATTCGATAGGTACATGTTTTTTGTTAAAAATGTATGTGGAGATGAATCTGAGAGAATGCTGGAGGAAGTGCTGAAACATGGATATTTAACTGCGTCGCAGATTATAATAAACACGTACAAAAAGATTCAACAATCTTCTGGTAATCATTCTTCTTACGTTAGACGATTATATCATCATATTATATATATTTATTTGTTTGTATTTGATGTTTTAGGCGGTAATGTACAGCCATCTTTATCATCTTTGAAAAATAATTTTGATTTAGTATTAAAAAATCAATTCCTTATACGCGATTTGTGTACAAATCTACAAAGTGATTGCGAAGAGAAGCCTGCCTTTATTTTACCGAAACTTAATTTAAGTGCAGTTGAAAATATCATTAAAGGAGTGAAAGATGATCCGGAAGATAGTAAAATATATTTCAAAGTTAATTTTGATAGACTTACCCAGGATTTTAGGTGAATCATTGAACATACGTGAACATAAGTGAAATTAACAACTTGGACCGGTTAAAATAGATGATTTATTTATTTATCGTAGAGATCAAGTTATCGTATCAGCCATACGTACAAAATTCGATGACAATGCTGCAGAGTTAATGAGACAGTTACTTTTCCTTATGTACCTGAGGACAGCGTCTTGGGCAGATACGTCTAATCCTATTCCGTATACGGAGATAAAAGATGCAGTCAGAAAATTAGAATATCCAAGACTTTTACAATATCTGGATCAATATTTAACTCTTTTAGGTATGAAATACATCAATTACCAAGAAGACATCAATTACCTTACTTGTGTACTATAATTATAGCAATAATATGTATGATTGTAGCCGAAGATAAGTGTCAATTTATAAAACGCGTAGGAGATTCAGGTGGCGGACAATACAGTATAAATATGAAGCAGGCTTTTAATCAACTGGCGTGGTCAACGTTAGAAAACGTTGTGCTGGAACGTTTTGGATCTGACGCAGTCAGGATATTTCGGTAGTATTTATTAACATTTCGATTAGATCCTAGAATATAGTATAGAAGATATATTTTGGATTGTTTGTTTGTTTGTTTGTTTGTTTGTTCGTTTCGACACAGGTTAATACCTACTAAAAAATATATTGAACAAGCACAGATTTTACAATTAGCTATGATGTCTGAGAAAAAGGCCAAATGTTTGATGTTTCTGTTGGTGTCAAATAATTTTATACAATTACAAGAATTAAAAAAGACTGCTAGTTCCGCTGCGTTAGCTAAAGTATTTTTATTATATCACGTGGATTTAGATCGAATTAGCCGACAAGTAATTCGAGATTGTCATCACGCCTTGTATAACGTCAGACAAAGGAGAGAACACGAAATGATCGTTAATAAGCGATTGATAGAGAAAAAATTACGTATGCAAACGTTTATTAGTAATATGAAAGAACACGGAGCAACCGAAGAACAATTGGCAGAGGTACTACTCCTCCTCCATCTTCATATTTATATATGAGATTCAATGAACATTTTATTATTTTTCATAATTATTAATATTACTTCAATTTGATTTCGTATAGATCGAAGAGCTGATGACGCCCTCGGAAAAGCAGCAGTTGGAACAAGTGCAAAATGTGATTAAAAAATTAAGTGCTACGGAGTTGCATATAGACGAAACTTTATTTGTCCTAACAATGTATAAACGTTATCACGAAAATCCTCCTAAAAAACTTGTAGATAAATCTCGCGATTAGCGACTATCCTATTAAACTATATTATTCTATATGAACTTCATTTAATATAATATAGAAACAAATGCGCGCGCACACACACACACACACATTTGATGATAATTAATTACGTATGATGCGTATGTATATCGTATCGATATATTGATATATGATTAATCGATCCATTAATCGCGTAATAAATCGCGTATACATGAAATTCGTTTGTTGTTGAACCGTTGTGTGAGTCAAAATGACGACACAGGACTACCTCGCGGCGTCGGGTTAATACATGGGTGTACCTAATGTTAGTTTTACTTGGAGGTCGATTAAAGTTCTTCGAGCTATCGTATCCACGATGAGCGCGATCGGTTTGATTGTGATCTTTGCTGGCATAATGTGGGCAATTAAACTTAGACGAGACATTGGCGATTATCTTAATCTCGCAGTCCCAGGTTAGTATGTATAGTAATTATATTAAAAGCTCATTAAAAGCTCAAAACATTTTGTTACTTTTTGTTTTTGTCAAAAGAACGTTTTTGTTAAATTTGTATTACGGCCTGGGTTAACGAGCAGACCATCACGACGAGCAGGTGATGGACACCTCTGGCCAACGGTGATAGTCGTCGCAGCTGTACCATGTGCTCCTGTTTATTTGCTTGGATTGAAAGCCTACCTCTGCCTTAATCTTGGCATACCAAGAAACAACAAATGTTGTCGTCAATTCGAAGAAGACAATTCCGAGCACTCGGACTTTCAAGATTCTCCCGATGATGTTGTTAATAATGATAAGAACAATGGTTTGGAAGCCAATCGTATATTATTCCTTCATGCAATTCTCTGTTTGATCTCTGGATGTCTCGTTGGTGCCATCAACGTTGCTTGTTTTCTCAAATCTACTACATTTCAAGAAAAGATCCGCGAGGATGGATCATTCGATAATCTGATAGAAGCTATGAATAATTATGCTTACGACGATCGAGTTAGATCTTACGTAGATGCTGTTCAAATGGAATTTCAATGTTGCGGCAGCGAGGATTATCGCGATTGGTTTCACGTCAGTTGGTGGGCTAAACGATCAACGGAATATTTTGACTATGAGGATAACGAACGACAACAGGAGGGGGGGCGGCAGTGGGTATAATCGGACCGATTATTATCTATCGTACTTTTATTCCTATCCAAAGATACAAATTTAAGATTGAAGATTGAACTTGTGTATTTTATTTTTCGAAAGATCGATGGAAAAGAAGGACGAAGGAAAAATAGCTACCGTTTTCAAAGATGTACCGTTTTCTTGTTGCACCAATAAATTCGTAGAACCCTGTGGACATCGAGAAATTCTTCGAGCCAGTCAAGTTTGTAATTTCGGTCTGAATAAGGAAGAAACCGTTTGGAACGTTGGATGTCGTTCCATCATTTTAACCCACGCTAGAGTCATTGGATTATTTCTAATATTTTTCTTAATTTGTCTTTCACTTTATCAGGTATAGAATATAATGATTATTTTTTTCATATATTCCATGTATCATGTATTTGTTCAATCAAATGTTTATACGTTACGTTTTTTTTTGTAGTTTTTACTCGGCATACTGTCACGTTTAGTTCAGACCGCGCATAGCAATGAATTTTATATCGGTCCAGAGAAACTTTATTATCGCGCTTGGATTTTCAGTAACACATTAAGCCCATGTTCTAAACATTATACAAATTTATTCCAAGAATCTGACGAAGATACTATAGAAACGCGATCGTTGTTACAAGAAACGTTGGAATCGTCGCCGCCGTCGCCGCCACCGCCACCGCCTATTATCGTTTCTTCCGATAAGAGAAATTCAAACAAACGAAAACGTCAACAGGAACACAAATTTGTATTAACCCCGCGTGGATCGGTACAACTGTTGCAAATAGATCGTCTTAGAAAAATTCGATCTAGTCCAATCTTGTCAACAAACGAGCCTATCAAAAATACATACAAACAGGATGACAATGACAGTTTGTTGGAAAAAAGTGACACATCTATTAGAGCCAATTTGAAATTTCGAGAAAATAAAAATCTATCTAATGCAGTGATTGCACCCGTACCTCCTCCATTTCCTCCCCAATCCGAGGAGTACGAAGAAAAAAGGAATTTCGATAATACGAGAAATAAAATAGAACGAGAGTTTATTTCGAAACCGAGCAAACAGGATAGACAAAAATTGTTAAACAAATTCGAACAAATTTTTAAGATCGAGGAAAGAAATCGCAGAGAATCCGGTGGAGCTGACGTTCCAAGGTAAACCTTTCTTATCTTCCTATTTCCATTCGTTCTTGCTTTTTTGTTTTTTGTTTTGTTGTTTTTTTTTTTCATCGCCTTTAATCTCAATCGATTCTCAGGCCTTGGGAACAGTTGGTTCAACGAAGTATCGATTCTCCTGACAAAGTTAATCATAGTTCAAGAGAAAGCGAGAAAAGTCATGTTCTTTCGAGATTTCAAGCAACCGATGCTTACGATCGATTTCGTGGTACGCTACAAGACACTTTATCGAGACGAGAGAATCCTCATTTACAAAATAGGACGACGATTAGACGATCCGCGAGACCAGGTCGCATGTGTCCTTGCTGTTCGAAACGTAATCATCAACATTTCAACGGAAACAACGTTGATCCTGAAGATTATCGAATCGTTCAACGAACAAACTTACTCCCAGATATTCCTTGTCCTCCTACTCCACCAGCAATACCTTTAGCTTTACATGATTGTACATCCCCGCGTTATCCAAGACCAACTTTGATTAGACTACAGCAACAAGAACAACGGAGGCAACAACGACAATGCCATTTACGGAATTTCCAAAGGAATGTCAACGACAACAAGCATCAACCACCGCCATGGACTTTGGCTGCTACCTCTTTCTCCCATCCTTCCAATAACAATTGCATACACTGTCAAACACGACATTTTCTTACCACTAACAAACAACATTATCGTCGTTCGATCAATTCAAATAGGTTTTATTAATAAGGAAAAAAGGTAGTGCAATATGACCACAAGATGAAAGGGGGTTACAACGGCAACATACAATATTCTGTTTATTTGCCGAGAAGTAAAATACACACAGGCATTTCTTATATAATAATATTATTATTATTAATAATAATAAGAAGAATAATTATAATAATAATGATAATAATAATAATAATTAATAATAATGATGATAATAATAATAATAATAATAATGGTACTGGCGAATAATACTTCTTATTACAACGATCTCTGAGATACATCTAGCAACGTATCGATACTAAAAAGAGAGAAGCTTAATCTTAATCATTTTTATCTTGATTATTTTGAAATGTCCACGCGTGTACGCGTATACGTGTTGGATGTTTGCATTTACACACGAACACGGATAGGCACGAGCACATTCCCACTCTGCATCCTTTGTTTCCGAAAAACCGATCGATCATCACTCTTGCTACTTTTTCCTCTTCTCTCTCGCTCTCCCTCTCTCTCTCTCTCTCTCACACACACACATAATCATTTATCTATCATTCGCAAACTAACAATAAATTTCTCTCCTTTCACCTTGCAAACATTTGCAACGGTGGTCCCGTAAATCGATCTCGAAGCGAGCGCGTACTCGCAATGAAATTTCATATTTTTATTAACTCTTCTTTTTCTTATTACGTATAATATATGTAGTCAAACGTAAAATAATAATTCTTTTGAATATCTTATAATATTAGTTTTCAAATGGAATGAAAATGTAAAGGAAGAAAGAAAGAAAGAAAGAAAGAAAAAAGTATATATGGTAACACGCTTAATTTCCATTCACAGAGTCAGAAATTCATAAGAGAGAGAGAGAGAGAAAAGAACAGAGAATAGTTAACGAACACAAAGTTGGAAACTGGGCCAAGCCCACCAACATCGCGAGATAACGGAAAAGGAAGAAAAGATGAAATGTGCTCGACTCGTCTATTTTCAAACGAGCTTAAGCCTCTCTCTCTCTCTCTCTCTCTTTCTCTCTCTTTTGCTCTTTGAATTTTCATCCGTTTTGTCAAGTTTCGAAGCAACCGAATACCAGTATCGCTCATTGATTTGATCGAAAAGAGACAAGAATTGTCTTCGTTCAGTAAATTCGTTGAATTATATCGTTAATTAGGAGGCAACAATTCATTTCGACTCGAGAGAAGTAATCATTTGCTCTTCTATTATTTTACAAATCGTCCAATAAATCAGTTCAATTAGTTGATGAAAATAACAAAGAAAAATTTGGGTTCGTTTCGATAGAAAGCCTGGGATTTCTCTCGAGTGGCCACAGTATAGATCATAGTATAGATATTCGTTGAGTTCATTTTGCCCCCCCCCCCCATTCATTTATCCTTTCTGTTCGACTCTTCCATTTATTTATCCTTTCTTCTTTTTCGTTCTTTCATTCTCTCGTGCAGCATGCATACACACACACTCACTCTTTCTCCAAATGTAACTCTCTTTCTCTCCTCTATCGTTTTCTATCTACTTCTTTGCTAAATCTACCTGCGTTTTATCTATACATTTGTGAGTAGGTATTTAAAAGTATGCGCCTTAAATAACGCATTTTAATCACGTTACTTCTCGCTATATAATATATTTATTTTTTTATCTTCTTATGTATGTATATTCTCGTGTTATATGTTTTGTTGTATATGTTATATATATATATATACGCCACGCCACGCAACGCCTCTGTGTATTTGCATGTACATGTCGGTCATTATTTTGTTCTTTCTTTTCTTTTTACTTCAAGTTCTCTTAATCTTTCATTTTCTACAAAACGATAACAACAAAGTCAACGTTATAATATAATCGTACAATATAGATAATCAATAATATAATAATAATAATAATAATAATAATAGTAATACAATATTGCTCGACCACCTCGTCACTTTAGCATTTTATCGCTATTCTTATAGATTCTCTTCAATTCACGTTACTTAACTAATAACGATGGGATTAATATTTTTTCGAAATCGCGTCCTCTCCGTTTACCTAGGGGTGGTGCCGATAATTATGACAGTGGACAGTGGATTAATAGTAAGTGAAAAAATAGGAAAAATCAGGTTTGCGCCTATGATTTATTTAATATTATTAAATAAATATGCGTCGTTTTTGTGATTTGGGCCCACTATCGTAATTGCCGACACATATACGCGCGTGCGCGTGCGAGTGCGCCTGCGTTTTATCTTTACATAATGTACACACATTACTCACGCACACGTATAAATATATTTTTTATAATCATATACACACACACGTACGTAACAACAACAACATTTGCTTTCGTCATTGGTGCTGATCGTCGTTCTGATATCATCTCTCTACGTATCTCCTTCACCTCTATATCGCTTTTTTTTGTGTCTTTCTTTTTTTTTCCCCACACGAGTAACACGTTCTACAAGAGGGAATTAAAACGACTTATTATTATTATAGGTACAACCGGTACAACACTTTCGTCCAGCGAAAAGCGTTCCAAAATGACGAGTTAATAATTGTGCTAATTATGACAGTGGCTTAATTAGAATTTTGTGACTTTAGTCTACTGTCATAATTACCGGCACGCTTATCAGCTGATTCGATATTCGAGTGATATCAAGCAAAAGTGCAAAGTAAACTCTTTCTATATAGGATGGTCCTATTCCTTCCTCCTCCTCCTCCTTCTTCTTCCATTCCTTTAGTTAATTAGCTAACTATTGGAGTTATACCTTACTGTGACCACGAAGAACGCGTGGGCGCGTCAACTTTGGGAGCAAATGGATCTCGCGTGTGTCGCGTATGTGTAAAGTATATCAAGTAAATATGTTAAGTATGTTTTAGGTAATAGATGTAAATGTTTACGTGTGCATCCTTTCACGGTGTGATCCTCTTCAGATCACGAAAAACAGAAAAAGATGATTGATTATTTTTCTACAAATATTTCTTGATTTTGTCATCTATATATACGACCATAGGGATGCATTTTTGTTCCTCGACCTTGTAGATATTCATTTTTCTTTGTTTGCAGTTGTTCACTCGTAGGACCACTCTTTCCTTTTCCATTTTCTCTACGTGTATACGCGTGCGCACGTATATATGCGTGTGTGTGTGTGTTTATTTGGCTTTACAAAGTGCGAGAGAGAAAGATGATTAGGCGATGAAAATCCTCCTCATACATTTATGTAGATATATAGAAAGAGCGATAATATTTTCTACCGTTTGATTATCAACTCTAGTTTTAAACGTGGGAGCAAATTTAATATCTTTAACGAATTATTCATACGTATTAAAATGTTATATATATATATATTTGTTCTCATTCGATGTTACGTAAATTGTCTTGTAATCAAGGACTATATAATTGGCCTATAAAGGGTTCAAGAAAGAAGGATCTAAATTTCATCTTTTCTCTATCTCTCTCATTAACAACCGGATCGTGTCTCTTAATTACGTTTCTTTTCTATATCTCTCTGTTTGTATATAGATTTCGCACGTGTGCATGTCGCGTCGTCGTCTCTGTGTCATTCTTGAAATACGTTGTGTAAGAAGAACTCGAGTTTTTTGTTATGCGAGCTCATCCATTTCTTTTCTTTCATAAGTATGTACTGTTCTGTTTTTATTCATTGTTTCTTATCGTGTTCATTTGTTTTATTTATATATATATATATATATAATTGTATTTGATAATAATAGAGATTTTTCATATACAAGAGAGTTGTCGCCGATAATTCTTCAATAATACTCGTGCTTCTAATATTACTATAATAATAATAATAATAAGAAGAATAATAGTAACAATCAATAATAATAATAATAATAATAATAATAATAGTAATGATGATTACAAGGAAAATCTCGGACTATACGGTGGTCTCGATCTATGATAATTATTTATTATAATTGCTTTATTTATTTGTCAAAGATTTTTTTTGTAAATTTTTTCTTTTTGTATTTTTTACTTTTTTCTTTGTTTTTAATTAGCTTTGTACTCATTAGCGGATCGTCGAGATAAGAAATTTCACTCTCCTATAATAATAATTATTATTCTCTGGCTTATCTGTAACGCGCGTCGTCGCGTGTGTGAGTCGACTTTTGAAAATTTACAATTTCTTTTTCTCGCCGTCTCTAATAATCGCGGATTCCGCCGATCTCTAATTAAGCGCCGTATTATTCTTCAAGGAAATCTGTTTTTTTATTTTATTTTATTT